TGGTTTGGTTTGAGAATAGAAACTAGGGTTTTCTGTTTTAATTTTAAAATTTGGTTGGATGGGTTTTCTAAAACCGACATATTTGGTTTGGAAAGTTTGGTTAGACTGGTTAAATGGTTAGACCATTTCGGTTTGATTGAATTCCCAATTTTGCCGGGTCGGGTGGATTATACCCAGGTATAAATTGTAAATATCTCAATTGGTCACGATTTTTGTGTCATTTACATATTTTCCGAATTTAAAATAATTAATTTTATTTTCTGTTTTTAGATGGGTCTTAGGGAGATTGAGTATTGAGATTTGAGGGCTCTAGAGGAGTTGCCTCCTACTTTGCATTTATAAAGGTTTTTTTTTGTTTAAAAAAAGGATAATTGTTTTTCCTTTATGGAAAATTTTACCTTATTGGTTAGCCATCTTTAAATATGCTCAGTGTTACAGACCGCATTAACTAGGCCTTTTAGAGGGTCACTAAGAATTGAATACATACACCTAGGCTGGAAGTTTATGTTTTTAGTTTGCTATTTGACTTTGTTTCGGTTTGAATGTTGCTAAGTTTAGACACAAGTTATCCTCTTTTGTAATGTGTCTAAAACTTTTTTTTTTTTTAATTTCGGATGTTTGGTTATTTTCGGTTTAATTTGGTTATTTTCGGATTGTTTGGTTATTTTTGGTTACATTTGGTTGTCAAAATCAGGTACCGAACCGAGTGCGTAGATGAAACGGATATTGGCGGTTCTTATTAAATTCATCCGAACCGATCCGAAACCGGTTAGTTCCGAACCGATACCGTACCGGAATTTTAAAAAAACCGAATGGTTCTTATACATCAGGATCCGAAAACCGTATAAACCGAACCGAAACCGAATGGTGGACCGAACGCCCAGGCCTAAGTGCGACATTAATTAGACCAAGCCATGTACGTATTAGATATGCTTCAGAGATCATACACGATATGCAAAACTAATGATTAAATGTACTACCTATCACTAGCTAGCATTTTACTTTTTTACTAGGCTAGCACTTAGCATTTTTACATTGCTTCAATAGACCTCTTAAGCGGATGAGTAAGATTCCTTTGCAGTAAAAAAGTTATCTATGAGGAACGGTCTGCAAGAGAGAGAGAGTTAACTGATAAACCTCGAACTGTCCCCATATAATATGGCGGGGTTCAATATCATCTCAGAGCTGAAAAGTTTTGGTGGAATAGTGCCTGAGAGCTTATTCTTGTGGAAGTGACTGCCATATTTTTTACCATTTATATCAGATGAAGCTGAATAAATAAACAGACAGAAGATGTCTTTTAACAGACCAGGACTAGAGTTTGATGATATTGGATTAATGGGTCCTGTCACCTAATTATCCGCAAGATCCAACCAATATACTTTGCTTAGGTTTCCTAGAGACCCTGGAAGTGAAGTTATTCGAGTTCAAAGCCCTGGAGAACATATGATGGAACCCATTCAGACAATGATTTGACTTCAGGAAAAGAAGTATTAAGTAAGATTCTTAGAAAAAAAGATAGATCTTTGAGATAACCAAAATCTCATTTGGGATGCTACCAGTGAATTAAGCCACATCCAGCAAGTATACTGAAAATCCAATAAGATTGTTTAATAGATACACAAAGATGGCTTTAAGGATGTGTGAGACAGAATGTTGAGCTTTTGAAGATCTCTTAAACGGGAAGTAAGTGAACCTGTGAGTCCTGGATTGAACGAAAGGTCCCTGAAACAACAACACAAAGTCGCCAGTTCAGGTAAGAAAAAAAACAGATGATGTCTTGTGTTTAGGAGACTGACAAGGATCTTAGTTCAGATAGTTCTCCAATGTCTCCACTAAGCCTTCCTTTGAGACCCATTGTTGACAAACCCCTGTTACACAAAAGACTTGCTTGCTTTGTACGTTACTAAAATGGAGTATGAATGAGTGAGTATTAAGCAACACTTACAAAGCAGTGATTAATCTTGAACCATTGCAGGAGACACCTTCCCAAGGAGTTCCACAAGGATCATCAGAGCCTCCCCAGCTAGGTGGCGTGTTCTCCCACTGATCCATCAAAGAACGAAGAGCCAGCGCTAATAGATACCAACAAAAACAAAGATCAAATAAGCATTACAAATCATTTCCATGGATCAGATTCGAAGCAAGGTAAGAGTACCATCGTCACGAGGGTCAGTGACTGATGAAACCATTGGGAAGACAGTGAACGTGTAAGAAAGACATATATCAAGAGCAACCTCAAAGCTGTTGCAGCCACCATTGTTACTCAAAATACATGAGTTCTTGAGGTTTGATATTTAAGTGAAATTTTTTGAGTTAGTTTCCTTGAGAGACAAGATTAATCATTATATCATCAAGAAAGACAAATGTGTGTAGAAGTGTGCCAATAGAAACACGAGTACCACCAAGAAGAGTTGGTTTCATTTGCGTTTAATCAATTTTTCCTTTACTTTAGAGTCAATTTAACGGCTGGCGTGTCTCTTTTTCTGAAAATACTTTTTTAGTTATTAAAACATTTCAGTGATAAATATCCAAATAAGTACAAAATTATTTCAGATAACCAATACAAAAATAATCATGTAAGCTTGAGTTATCGTTAAGCTATGTTTTATAATCAAAGCAACCTTCTTCCATCATATCATGCTAAGACAAATAAAGATAGTGGAAGAAGAAAACAGAGACACCTCATTTTCAAAGCTCTAAGCTCTGTGATGGTCCCAAAAGAGAAAGACATGCAACATTCCAAGTTTCTCTGACAACTAAAGCACTAGCAACAAAAGAACAATGGATTTCTGAATACACAACAAGACACATGAGCAAGAAATCAAGTAGCTTTCCTCAAACATTGAAGGAATTTAGTGGAAAAGATCAGTTCCTAGTAAATGGGTATGAGTTGCAGAAACTTATATATTTTCTGCTTTGAAAATAGAGTGGAACATTAAGTGTTATGTAATCACAAAAGTGAAACTAACATTTTAGTACGTCGATACAGTCTTGCCAGATTCCATCAAGACCATGTTCGTTGAGGAACCAGTGGCGTAACATCTAACGTAGGCGATGAAACAAAGAGAGATGCTGGAGCAGTCATGCTCACACTCCAAGAATCATCTATGTTATTTTCCATTGGCATCTCTTCTTCTTCTTCTTCCTCCTCTTGGATAGTTACCTCAAAATCTTCAGGTGAACGGATCTTCTCAAGCTCAATCACAACCTCTCTCATGCTTGGACGCTTCTTCCCTTTTAGGCTTAAACACCTTCTAGCAAGTTTCGACATAGCCAATACTTGTTCCGGCTTGCACTCTTGTTTGATTCGAGAATGAACAAATATCAAGAACTCTGTTCTCTTTCATGGCCTGGAAGAAATATGATGCAATCCCTCTGCTTTCTTCAGCCCATATAGCAGAAGTTGCCGTTTCTCCGGTTATAAGCTCAACTAAGAAACATCACTTTTATCAGTGAACTGACTAGTTTGAAAGTACTCTGGATCCAAATACCCAAAAGTACCGGCAACATTAGTTGTCAAGTGTGTCTGATCTATGTTTATGGATGTCGAAATACCAAAATCTGACAGCTTGGCTCTATACTTGTCATCCAAAAGTATGTTTCTGGTCTTGACATCTCTGTGATAGACCGGAGTAGATGCAGCCGAATGCAAGTAAGCAAGTGCTCCTGCAATCTCTACAGCGATCCGCAAACGCACTTCCCAAGTCATTATGTAGCCATCCGAATCATCATGTAACCGCTTGAATAGGTCTCCATTTGAAATATACTCATAGACCAAGATTGGAATCTCTGTCTCGAGACAGCACCCCATAAGCTTCACAATGTTTCTATGCTTAATTTGCGAGAGAACAGAAACCTCATTGATGAACTCCTCAACTTTGTCTTTCTTCTTGTTAGATTTTTTGACAGCTACGATTCGTCCATCTACCAACATGCCTTTATAGACCGTGCCTTGACCTCCCTGTCCAAGCACTCTATTCTTGTTCAAGTTATCCGTCGCCTTTTTCAGCTCTTTGGAGCTGAATATTTTTGATGTCGTCTCCATATTACCTCCTTGTGTAGCTAACTGTTGCTTCAAGAGCAAACCTCCGTTACGTTTAAACAAGTCCCTCTTTCGGTTAGTCGTCCTTCTCTTCTTGAAGGATATAAACGATATTAACTACTCTAACTTTTAACGTGGGATCTCGGTTGTGAAAAATCACTTCGCAAATAAATTAATTGTGTTTTACTTTTTTGAAACCAATAATATTTATACTTTCATTTAACAGTTCTTATGTATATTTATTTGTAATTTATGTTCACTATTAAAAATAATTTAGATTATCTAAAATTAATTTGACTTGATTAATATTTAGTTATGTATTTTCTATTGTTTTAATTGTTAACTTTTTTATCAAAATATATTTTCACATAACATCACAATATATATTAGAATTATCTTATTTAAAAAAATATTATTTAGATTTTAGATAATTCTTATGATTTTTATTAATTTTATCTACTTATCTAATCAAAATAATTTAATTTCCTTTATATCATTATTATTAATTTAAACCATTCTAATTAAATAAATATTAAATTCATTTTTTATTTTTGACTGATTTATATATTTTATTCATTAAGGGTATAAACGTTATTAACCACTTCAATGTTTAACGTGAGAGCTCCGTTGCGAAATATTATTTCGTAAATAATAGTATAGATTTATATATTTTATTCATTAAAGGTATAAACGATATTAAGCACTTCAACTTTTAAAGTGAGAGTTCCAGCAGAAGATAGTATAGATATCAGTAACACAAAAGTTCAAACAAAGGTAAAGGATATAGAACTACCTTGAAGTCTCCGGCAGAAGATATAACCCATGTTCGTTTCATCACCGCGGAACGCAGCGGTACACATAACACAGGTGAAGCACAACTGACTGATTTTGCAGTCGCTGCGGCAACAAACGAAGGATAAAATGGAGGCGGAAAATATCGGTGGCATCGGTATAGTAACAGCCATGGGACGGGGTGAGTTAAGCGCAATGGCTGTGATAGCAGCTTCACTGTATCAACAAAATACAGTAAGGAACTAAAGAGTTACTCTCAACATGAGAATCAAGTAATCTGACAAAAACCTGTGAGGTTGATTTATGACTGTGGTTAGGCTAAATGTTTTCTTGTCTGGTACAAACACCCAAAACTTGAGAGAAACTAAGCCTCCACTAAGGTTTCCTTCAGCAAACCTGGTCTCAGCTGTAATCATCAGTGAGCCATTCCTGGAGAGAGCAACTGCTGTCACTGCAACCTATTTTCAATATTTGCTTACATCATTACAAAAAGGATGAAGATCCCTTACTAATAAAAAAAAAGCTATATCATCTTGCGGAGAAGAAGAAACAACCAAAAGTACTAACTCGGAGTCCATCATCCTCTGGTTGATGATTTCTCTCGCAAACTTGAATCTGCATTTGTTTTGTTAAATTGCTAAACCATAAAGCTATCAGATACAAACTCAAGAAAAAGTCGTTTAGGATGCTAACCTCTGTGTCATTTAAAAGGTTGTAGAGTTGAACACAATGATTCGTTGTGGATAAAGCAGCAATACCGGAAGAAGGATCAATGGACACAGTTCTGGTGAGGGAAATATGCATCGTTTTGACGTAGCTTATAAATCCAAAGCTATCTAATCCCGGAGACTGTTACGTAGTAAAAACACAACATGAATGTGAAGTCAACTCCAAATGGAAATGGAATCCAATAGGTAAACCAACATAACCTATGAAAAAATTGTTTTTTTTCATCAGATGATTAATAAGAAGGAACCTTGATTCCAGGAATCGTTCTCAATATCTCCATGGAAGGCATTTTAAGAAGATGTATCTGATTATCTGCACAAATCGCCTGAAAACATATTGATCTTAATAGAGTTGTTGAAACAAACTTACTTTGCCTGTATATATAGCTTTATATGTATCTTCTTACACGGAGATGCAGTCACTCACTACAAGCTCAAGTCTCACCAGAATACAAAAACGCTCCATCTGAAGAGAAGTTAAGAACAGTTACTTCATCAGGATGCCAATTGAAAGCAATGCAAGACTCAGCACCATCTTCACTTTTCACTGAAGTAAGTTTTACCTCACCAATATCTTCCCAAATCAACACTCTTCTTGTTACATCTCCCACTGCTAACATTCTCTTATTGGGATGAAAGGCAAAAACAGTAATCAACTGTGTGTGATGCAAAAGTAGTCTCCTTTGCCATCTTCCCAAGAGAAGTACTCCATACATGTATTTTGCAACTGTCACAGACCCCGAAAAACTCTCCAGAGGGACTCATAACAATACTTTTTGGTTCTTCCATCTACTCAATAAACAAATGTAATCAAAATCTGAACCAAAATATGAGTCTATTAATGTTTTTTGTTTATAAAACTAACCTCTTTCAAAGTGTCACCACAGGGAAGATGCTCATCCAAGAGACTAACTCTACGGATTTGTCCAAACATATCTTTTGAGACACTTGAGTGATCCTCAACCGAAACATAAGCAATCATGCTACGTGACGGTCGACATGTAAACATAGCCTACAAACAATCCAAGGAAAGTTTTAATTTTTGCTTTTCAAAACTGACAATAAGTATCGAACGGGAAAGGAATCGAGATGTTCATATTATAGCATTTATCGTAATATTATAGCATTTATCGTAAAATTTGATTTTTTGCATAATAGTTAACCCACATATTTCCATAAAAAATAGAAAATATATTATTTTATTTTAATGCCTAGAGGCATCATGAACTGACATATAATGAAGGTTAAATATGTTTGAGATTTTAGGCATTTATGTATCTCCAAAATATAAAATTTTATAAGGTTTAATTCATTGATTAGGTGGTTTATGAAGTTTAAATAAATTACTCATTGAAAAATTAGAAACGGTGTCCATATACCACGAAAATAATTTTAACATACATTAATATAAATTTAGAATGTAATCAGTTATTTTTTATTTTAAAATAAAGAGCAAAAAATGCATCATATAGCATTTATCGTAAAATTTGATCCTTTCGTGTGGGTCAACCCACAGATTTCAAGAAAAAATAGAAAATATATTATTTTTATTTTTATTCATAGAGACATCATACACTAACATATTATGAATGTTAAATATGTTTGAGACTTTAGGTGTTTCCGTATCTCCAAAAATAGAGTTTTATAGGGTTTAATTCATTGATTAAGTTGTATATGAAATTTAAATAAATTACTAATTGAAAAATTAGAAACGATGTCCATCTAACATGAAAATAATTTTAGCATTCATTAATATAAAATTAGAATGTGATCATTTATTTTTTATTCGGAAATAAAGGGCTGAAAGTTCATCTTATAGCATTTATCGTAAAATTCGATCATTTTGTCGGGATTAAACAACAGATTTCTAATATAATGAAGGTTAAAATAGGTTTGAGACTTTAGGTATTTCCGTATCTCAAAAAAAAAAAAAAGAATTTTATAGGGTTTATTTCATTGATTAGGTGGTATATGAAGTTTAAATAAATTACTCAGTGAAAAAATAGAAACGATGCTCTTATACCATGGAAATATTTTTAGCATACATTAATATAAATTTAGAATGTGATCAGTTTTTTTTTTATTTGAAAATAAAGGGCCGAAAGTTTATCTTATAGCATTTATCGTAAAATTCGATCATTTCATCATGGATAACCTACAAATTTCAAGAAAAATTAGAAAATCTATTATTCTTATTTTAATGCATAGATACATCATTCACTAACATATTATAAAGGTTAAATAGGTTTGAGACTTTAGATGTGTTTCTGTATCTCCAAAAATAGAATTTTATAGGATTTAATTTATTGATTATGTGGTATATGTAGTTTAAATAAATTACTCATTGGAAAATTAGAAGCGATGTCCATGTACTATGTAAATGATTTTAGCATATATTAATATAAATTTAGAATGTGATCATTTATTTATTTTTGAAAATAAAAAGCCAAAAGTTCATCTTAGAAAATTTATCGTAAAACTCGATCTTTTCGTGTGAATTAACACACATTTTAATATTTTCGTGTGGGTTAACCCACATATTTCAAAAATAGAATTTTTTATTTTATTTTAATGGATAGAGACATCACGCACTGGCATATTATGAAGGTTAAATAGATTCATTTTTATCCAGAAAATAGATTTTGTATAGAGATTAGTCCATTGATGATTGTATATGAAGTTTAAATAAAATACTCGTTGGAAAAATTAGAAATAATGTGCATGTAAAATTAAAATAAGTTAAGAATATCAAATATAAAGAAGTCATGATTTCTATTTCTATTTTAATAGATAAGATTTTAAAGTACTTCCAATATATCTTAACACTAGGTGATTTTCCCGTGCTCATGCACGGACATGTATATTTATAAAATAATAATACAATAATAATTGATTGATATTTATTTTAATTTTTAAATTAATTTATAGTTTGTATGTCTAATTTATATTATAATATTCTATTACTTTAATTATATATATAATTTTAGATATGTTATATTTAGTCTGTTTTATTGTTTTTACAGTCGATTTAGTTATCATTTAGATATATTGGATTTTATCTATTTCTCTGAATTCAACTATAATCTTTTATATTTTAAATATATTAAAATTTTGATTAATTGTCTTATTTTCATTTATGCTGGTTTGTTATTTTAGAAATATAAGTATATTTAGTAAGATTATATATAACTTAAGATTTTTTGTGGTTAGAAGGAAAACAAAGAAAAACTAAAGTGTCTGATTCTAAATTACATACATAAGTAACTAATGAATTTTTAGAAGCTTTTGAATGCATATCAATATTTACAATAATTAAAATATTTTATAAATTTTAAATAAATTTATGCTTTAGATTGATTGGATGGTAAACTGAAATTTATTTTTAAATAATTTATGAATAAGGATTCTGATTTGCTTAAGTATTTTGATCATGGTTATATTAAGTTTCACAAACATAAAAACAGAAAATTAAAAATCAAAAGATTTATTAAGAAAACAGATAATCTTAACTATTAAAATATAATATATCTACCTTATTAAATTATATAGTGTTATGGTATTTTAGAATAATTGTAGTTATTTCTGTTTTTATATTTGTGAAACTTAATATAACCATAATCAAAATACTTAAGTAAATCATAATCCTTATTCTTAAAACAGATAATTTTAACTATTAAAATATAATATATCTACCTCGTTAGATTATATAGTGTTATGCTATTTTAAAATAATTGTAGTTATTTGATCAAAAGATGTTTATTATTAAATTTATTTTTAGTTTTATTTTTAGTATCTCTTAAAATAGTCAGTAAAAAGTGATTGTTTTTGAGAAATTATACTATATAAGTAAAATAGAATTTATACTTTTACTGTAATTGTAATATAGTATAGTTAAATAAATATACTAAAAAATAATTTCAATAATACTAATTATAAAAATGTCAATTAAACATATATCAGTTTATTTTAGTTGATTATCTTATGTAATCGTCTAATAAAATAGATAGATATATAGAAAACAATTATTTTGAAAATATATATATTTAACTGTTTAAATTTTTTTTAAAATATTTCTTTTTCTAATAGCAATATTTTTTGTGTGAAATCTTTTTATAAAATCACATTATATACAGATATTGTTTTTTTATCTAAAAAGATACATATATAAAGCATTTTATTACTTCAAAGGTATATTTTATGTTATTTAAAATATATTTAAATTAAATATTACTATTTTGTGAACTTTCCTTTTATTATTAAACCATATTATATATACTTATATTTCATTTTTAAATAGTTTTGTAAATTTTATAAATTTTTCCTTTTTATTTTATATTGTTATTTGGAAATTTTTAAAAAGGAAATAATATTTAATTGTATTTTTAATTCATTAGGGGTATCATAGTAATCAACCAACGTGAGAGTTAACGTGAGCGCGACACCTAAGAAATTGACTTCTCAAATAATATTATAGAGATATGATTTGGAATGTCAAACATATATATCTAATTCTTTTTATTCAAAACAAAACTTCCAATTTGAAGTAAGATAATTATGGAATAAATCCTACAGTCAAACTTTACAGATTTGGTACAATGACTAATAAAAAAATTATAAATATAAATAAGCACTAATGATACACCAAAGAAAAACATCAAACAACAAATAATTTATTGTCTCCTTTTCTTTGCAAACACAAAACTGTATTGAATCATAATTTCAAAAATTTAACTGTCAAGATGGTGAGTATCATGAAGATAATGATGATTATGGCTCTGTTAGTGATTGGTGTGAATGCAAGGACTATTAACGAGTGTAAAAAATCAGTGTGCAAATCTGTTTGTCACCCCGACCACAGCAGTGTTGAATGTGGTGATTGTCTCCTTAAATGGGCATACCCTCCTCCAAGTATTGAGACTCTCCTTTTATCTATTATTCCCTCAGTTTTTTTTTTTTTTTATATTTGACGTTTAGGCTAATGCACTTAGATTTAAAAACAAAAACACTATTTATTGTCTATCTAACTATAATTTACCATGTAGTATAATAGAAACTATTATATCATTGGTCATACAATATTAATTAATATTAATTTTTACATAAAAATTGAAAACATCAAATAATTTGGAGGAAAACAATTCCTCTAAAACATTAAATAATAAAAACAGTGGGAATATTAATTTACTTTCATATCAACCTCGAGTTTGATGTAGACTGTTAAAGTTTGAAATCCGATCCAGATTCATTTTGATAACTTAAAAAAAAATATGCATATAAGATTTGTAAATATTATATATATATGTATATCTAGAAAATATCAGAACTTATATACTTTTAACAAATATACTCTAAAATGTTGGTGAAAATAAAAGTAAAATATTTTTTGTTATGGTAATTTAAATACAAAAAAAAAAATTATAAGTCGTTTCAGTTATTTTATCAATTGTAGTTGCTATATGAGATCTCTACTATTCTTTTTTTTTAATTGTATGAGTTTTTTTAACACTGGTAATGTTATTCGAAACGTTACAAAATTAAATTACATAAGAGAAAGAAAGAGATGTCATTAGACATCGAAACAAAGATGAAAAGGACCTCAACCTTTTATTGTTTAGCCTCCAAAGCGAGTAGGTGATGTATGAGTTAGACTGAAACTTTAGAAGTGATGGTTATAATTTTCAGGTGAGATCAAAACTGATCAACGGACTCTGTGTCTTAAGAGATGTGCTGCTGATTGTGTACCGAACTACAGCTGCTACCGACGTTGTATTGAAGACTGTCCAAAACCAGCTTTGATTTGAGTTCACATAGTTATGCAACAGTTGCTAGATTTTTCTTTTCAATGATGTAGTCATTTATATCTTGAGTCTCTGATTTTGGGATGTAACCGACTTAACAAGATTATGTTTTACAGACGCAATATAAGAGAAATATTTTTAAAAGTTAAATAAAATTTGACTGTGGTTCAAAAAATACAAGAACAAGTTAAAAAGTTAAATAAAATTTGATTGTGCTACTACTGCTGCGGCGTCCTACACATCCTATCAGATTGGGTTTGAAAATTTGAATTTCAAATGACACCTCATAGGCTTTCAAAGACTGATCAGTAGCCTATTTCCTTTCATCTCCTGACTTGAATTATGCAGAATAACGGTAGTATTCACCTTAATTTCCGGAAAAAATAACCAAACAAATATTCATAAACATATAACGTTAATTTTTGAATGAGCATTGTTAGCTTTAACATCTTATTAAAGGAAAACGGTTGATTCACCCTCGGGAAGCTGATGGAATCAGATGCTAATATAACACATACATTACGATTTATTTATAATGTGATCAGTTATTTTTATTTGAAAATAAAGAGCCGAAAGTTCATCTTATAGGATTTATCGTAAAATTTGATCTTTCATAGGGGATTAATCTACAGATTTAAAAAAAAATAAAAAATATATTATTTTATTTTAATGCATAGAGACATCATGGACGGACATTTAATTAATGTTAAATAGGTTTGAGACTTTAGGTGTTTCCGTATCTCCAAAAAAAATTATAAGGTTTAATTTATTTCTTAGGTGATATATGAAGTTTAAATAAATTACTAATTGGAAATTTTAGAAACGATGTCCATGTACCATAAAAATAAGTTTAGCATACATTAATATAAATTTAGAATGTGATCAGTTATATTTTATTTGAAAATAAAGAGCCTAAAATTCATTTTATAGCATTTTCGTAAAATTCGATCTTTTTGTATGGATTTATTATAGAAATCAGAAATCTATAATTTTATTTTAACGAATAGAGACATCATGCACTGACATATTATAAAGATTAAATATTTTTGAGACTTTCAGTGTTTCCGTATCTCCAAAAAATAGAGTTTTATATGGTTTAATTCATTGATTACGTGGTATATGAAGTAGGCCTGGGCCTTTTATACTTAAACCGAAGTCCATACTACAACCCGAACCGAACTTGCGGTTTTGGACCGGTTTGGACCCAAGGAAAAAACCGAACGGATTCTGTAGCCCAAACATTTCGGTTATGGGCCGGTTCGGTTGGAAACCCATATCCAAATAAGTAACCGAAGTGAACCGAGCATTAAGTTGTCTTACGCGTGCTTAGGGTTATCGGTTACACAAGACACGATAAGCCTCTTCGTTTCTTGAACTAGTGTGAGGCGACGAACTGTAATTCCCAAAATCTCTCTCGAGTATTGATCATCATCATCAAACTGGCGACTATAAATAACCTAGCTTCTCTATGTTCTTCTTCATCAGATCATTTTAGAATCCAATCGCAGGT